TTTTCTCTTCTTATCTGTAATTCAGTACTGTGCTAGAAAATAATTCCAGCCTGCCATTTGCTCTAAATAATATTTATTCAAATGTCTGTTACTTGGGAAAATGTAATCAGTGTTAGAGAAAGATGAGATGACAGTTTATCTAGCGTGTCTTGTTTACAGCTTGGAGAATATATTCTTTTAGCTGTGTAGTTTTGTGTTTGGACTCATGGACACTGCAATAACTTTTATGGCTGCTGACCAGGTTAGTGTTATACTTGTAGTTTATTTTCAGTGAACACACCTTTTAGGCTATTATTGCAGTGTATGAATTAAAGTGAACTTGCACTTGGCTGATGATAGTTTGTGTAACAGGTTTATTTTGAAAGAAGAGACCAAAGTTCTTTACTTTTCCCGTACTCTTAACCTCTCTGAAATACATATGTGCAAGTATGTAAGTATGGGAACCATACAGTATGCGGTTGCATGCAAGCAATTCATCTGATCACCTCTCGTCATACATTTTCAAATAACTGTTGTTCAAAGATGCTCGCTCTTCAGTAATGATCTGTACCTTTTTCTGTTATAAAGTATATGTATAGCCATTTGTTTTTTCTTTTAGTTTTGGACAGAGTTGGGAAGGATTACATCCCTACCAGTTTTTTTATTTCTTTGCTGTCTATCATTGGGGAAACATTCCTTAACTTCTGTCCCAGAAATGCAACAGGTTGTTAGAGGAAATCTCCCAAAAGGAGGGGACTGTTGCCCCTGAAACAGGTGTCCTCATTAGAGGGTTTCTACCTTACCTCTTGTTCTGGGGACAACTCTAAAATGTTGGCTTTCCTCATGTTTTTTCTCGATGACAATGGTGAGCAGTACCTATAGAGGAGTGAATGTCCCTAATGGGGACACAGGCAGAAATAAATTGATAGGGGGTCTAATCCTTCCCTACTCTATCCAAAACTTATTAAAGGGTTTTGCCTAAATGTTAAGTTTAAAGTAAATCTGCCAGGGATCAATATGTCTTTATCATACATCAAAGGGCACATGATGGTATTGAGGAACATAAGATTATGCTGTCCCCTTCAGGAGACTAGACATTTTTTTTAAAAGCTATTAGAACAACCCAGCATAACCCCTTCCATCGCCAATAAGGCTCAGTTTTATCAAGATCTCTTTTTCATATATCAAAAATAAATTGTTTACAGTCCCTGCCTATGTTGCTCTATGTGCGTTATGGCCACAGCAGCTGCACTAAATCAGGGCCTTCCAGCTTCTATTGAGGAGCCCCATGGTAGTATACCTTATTTCTGCCACCTCCCAACAGGGTTAAAGTGATAGTGTCCTGTGGTCGCAAGTTCACTAGCGGCACTTGAGCCATAAGCCTGAAAGTGGGTGGAGTTGCCACCATTTTTCAAGTTGTGGCTTCTTTTTCTGCCCTGACAAAGAGACTGACTGCATGCACCAGACTTCATGCTTCCAGCCAGCTCTGTGGCCTCACCCATGCTACACTGCTCATCTGGACATCCTTGGCTCCCTGCTGCCTCTGTGGAAGGTCATTCCTCTCATATACACACATAGTATGGAGCGTTGTAAGCACAATGGCAGTGGTTACCTGACACTAATAGCCTCAATGGATCAATTCTTGCTTAAGTATTTCACCTTGGGACTCGTAGTCTCCCATTCTGGTACAAGTTCTCCTCAGTCTTCCAAATTGATCCTCTGGTATATAGGAGTTTCCTCCAGTAAGTTTGGAATGCGTTTTGGAATGGATATTTCATTCATTTTTTTATATTTATATAGGTATATGCACTACATTTGTACAGCATGTGCTCAACTTTTTGTTCCCTTGTGTCACCATATGATCTAAATCTGGTTCTGTCAATGCTCCATAAACTACCCTTTCAGCCCATCAGGGATCTTCCCCTGTGCACTCACTCACATGGTCGATTTTCTTGTTGCGTTTGGCGTCTTACCATGTAAGGAATGTTTCCTTGTATTTCATAGAGACAAGATTGTTTTGAATCCTAAAGCCATCTGTCTTTCTTCTACCTTAACCGATGTGAATGTGTAACTATGTAAAGCGCTGCGTGAATTGTCGGCGCTATATAGATACCTCAAATAAATAAAATTGTCCTGTTTTCTGGATTAACCTTCAGGTCCTCCGCTGATTGACAGTAGGCAGTGGGCGGGTGCAATAGCCAGCGCCTGCTATTGTAATTTGAGATAGCCAATAACAGGCTGGTTAGTGCACCTGCCTGCTGTGAATCAGCAGAGAAGGACCTGAAGGAGAACTTTCTCCTTCAGTTCTCTCCTCTCCTGATTGACAGCAGGCAGTGGGTGGGTACAATAGCCAGCCTGCTATTAGCTATTGCAATCTGAAATGGCTAATAGCGGGCTGGCTGTTGCACCTGACCACTGCCTGCTGTGCAATCTGGTTGCCTACTGTGCAATCTGTCGCCACCTGCTGTTATTCCCTGGCTTAAGCTATCCAAGCGCGATGTGCGTTGAGGTGCCATTCATTCCAATATTCATTGTTAACTCTAAACTGGTGACCAGGCTTATATATTTTTTTATTATTTATAATATATCATTGTCATTGTATTTTTTGTCTAATTTTGGTGTGTTTGAAATGTAAGTTTGGTTATTTTATTATATTGGCTTGGAGTTTTTTCAATTCAGATTATTTTAAATCCATGAAACTAATAAAATGTCTAATATAATGCATACAATTATTAAAAAATACAAAACGTGTATTCGGTTTGGGTGCCATTCATTTCAATGGCACCCCAAACACACCTCTTGCCTGCAGTGCGATTGCTCGTACTGGAGTGAGCCCACTCTAATCAGCTAATTAAGCCATAGCACCTGCAAAGGGTTCTTGAGCCTTTAAATGGTCTCTCAGTCTGGTTCAGTAGGAGTCACAATCATGGGAAAGACTGCTGACTTGACAGTAGTGCAGAAAACCATCATTGACACCCTCCATAAGGAGGGAAAGCCTCAAAAGGTAATTGCAAAAGAAGTTAGATGTTCCCAAAGTGCTGTATCAAAGCACATTAATAGAATAGACATTAATAGAAAGTTATGTGGAATGGAAAAGTGTCGAAGAAAAAGGTGCACAAGCAGCAGTGATGACCGCAGCCTGGAGAGGATTGTCAGGAAAAGGCCATTCAAAAGTGTTGGGGACTTTCACAAGGAGTGGACTGAGGCTGGAGTCAGTGCATCAAGAGCCACCACACACAGACGGATCCTGGACATGGGCTTCAAATGTCGTATTCCTCTTGTCAAGCCACTCCTGAACAACAAACAACGTCAGAAGCGTCTTACCTGGGCTAAAGAAAAACAGACCTGGTCTGTTGCTCAGTGGTCCAAAGTCCTCTTTTCTGATGAGAGCAAATTTTGCATCTCATTTGGAAACCAAGGACCCAGAGTATGGAGGAAGAATGGAGAGGCACACACTGCAAGATGCTTGAAGTCCAGTGTGAAGTTTCCACAGTCTGTGTTGATTTGGGGAGCCATGTCATCTGCTGGTGTTGGTCCACTGTGCTTCATTAAGTCCAGGGTCAACGCAGCCGTCTACCAGGAGATTTTGGAGCACTTCATGCTTCCTTCCGCAGACGAGCTCTATGGGGATGCTGACTTCATTTTCCAGCAGGACTTGGCACCTGCCCACACTGCCAAAAGCACCAAAACCTGGTTCAATGACCGTGGGATTACTGTGCTTGATTGGCCAGCAAACTCGCCTGACCTGAACCCTACAGAGAATCTATGGGGCATTGCCAAGAGAAAGATGAGAGACATGAGACCGAACAATGCAGAAGAGCTGAAGGCCGCTATTGAAGCATCCTGGTCTTCCATAACACCTCAGCAGTGCCACAGGCTGATAGCTTCCATGCCACGCCGCATTGAGGCAGTAATTGCTGCAAAAGGGGCCCAAACCAAGTACTGAGTACATATGCATGCTTATACTTTTCAGAGTTCTGATATTGTTCTATGTACAATCCTTGTTTTATTGATTGCATGTAATATTCTAATTTTCTGAGATTGTGGATTTGGGGTTTTCATGAGCTGTAAGCCATAATCATCATATGAGTCTATCTCGTATATTAGTTGCACCTTTAAGTGGCATTAGTGAAATAAATTAACTTTTGCACGATATTCTAATTATTCGAGTTTCACCTGTATACCCGGCAACACTACTTTCCTGCACATGCTACCTGCTGTGATATCCTTCTGCACCATTGACCTAAACATAGTTCTCGTCATACCTTTTGCGCACCTTGACATACTCTCCTGCACATAGAACGCATTTATTTCCTCCTTTAGTACAGAATTAAACACATTTTCTTATAGACACAGCTATCTTTTTTTTTTTTTAAATATTTAAAACTTTGCCTATTCTTGAATGGGCACATTCTTGCTTTATTGTTAACCAGCTAACACTGCAGTCCCTCACAGTCTCTTACATAGTGAAAGACATTTCCTTTAGCCACATTTAGATTCAAATCTTCCTTGCAAATTTGAGTGCGATTTAGTTATATGAAAAGCAGACAGCACAGGCTCCGGAAAGCATGTACACATTGGACTTGTGAGGTGTTCACTGACTTGTGGTTACAGTGAATTATAGAGAGATCAGGTGAAGGAAGCGATAGTGAATTTTCTTACAAACACCATTGCACTGTTTCTTAGCATGACTATTCACTTGTTTTCTTGAATCTGTCTTTAAACTTTAAACTAGGCCCTTATTTAGATGACATTTAAACCACAATATCAATGGACAAAATCTGCTAGTTTGACGATGATTTAGTTATGACTAAAACTCTCATCTGAATTATCAAATTATTATCTCGACTATTGAAGTGTTTTGAGAAAGCATAATAATGAACGGAGTGCAAAGTCTGCTTCCCTCAGTAGGACCTTTTTTCAGAAACAGCAAAAAGTTTTTTTTCCCCCTCCTTCTGTAATGCATTCGTGTGGTTTTACTTTAGAGATGGTTTCTCAGTATGAATTCTATCTGTTTTCAGGGTAGCCTAAAAAGCAGCAGACAGATCTCACCACAGGAATTCATTCATGAATTGAAAACGGGCTCTACAGATGAAAGGCTCGTCTCTTACTTAGACTCCCTTCGAGTCTCCCTGACCAGCAATCCTGTCAGGTAATGTACCAGAATTTAACTATAAGTGATCTCATGTTAAAGTTTTATTTTCAAACTTGTACACTTCTTCTCGGTGTCTTTCCATGACATTGCCTTATTTTTTCAAGAAATGCATTTCTTTTATGTGTAATTTATTTTATCTGTAGGTTAAGAAGAATGATGAAAGTTTTACTATCTTTGATGGCTCACATGAATTATGTTTGCAGACAGTAAAATTAGAGATAAAGCTCTCTTTTATCTTTTTTTTTTTTCTCTCATTTTCTTAAGGTGCCCATACACTGTACGATTATCGTACGAGAATCGCGGGCAATCCCACGATCGTACGATAATCGTACAGTGTATGGAAGGCGTGCGACCGTTTCTACTGTACGGTCGCACGTCTTCCGTCGAACAAGCAGGCTTAACAACCCGCCGAGAATCGCACGGGTTTTCGCTAGTGGCCTGCTTGTTGGACAACTGCCAAACGGGCCGGTGTGCGCACGCGCACACTGCCCGTTTGCAGTGATGGGAAGCCCGCCCCTCACTGCGGTCATCGGAAGCACGACCCTCGGCGGGGCGGGCTTTCGATGATCGCAAGTACGATCTGGCCGTCCAAGATGGGCAGATCGTAGGAGCTTTTAAAAGGCTTACGACCATCGCAAGACAAAAGTTGTGCGATGGTCGTAAGGTGTATGGGCACCTTAAGATACCTTCCTATTAGGCCTACAATGGAATCACATGATTACTTGAGCTAAATGTCACACTGCTGGAGCCCATGCTGAGTTTGATATTTAACTATTTTAGATTGTAAGCTCTCACGGGCAGGGCCCTACTTACCATTTTGTCTTGACTAGTATTGTAAGTATTGTATCTATAGTATTGTAAAAGTGCAATTTCCCGTTCTGCTACACCATTTTGTTCAGGAGTGTATGGTGTGGTGGTCTGGTGTACTATACCCTGTTTCTTTAAATTTGATTCCCCTTCCTTACCGATGTATTCCCCTCCATTGTCGGTGTGTATAATTCCTGGTTTCCATTGGAATTTGTGGCTGGACATGGCTACAAACTCTTGAAGTTTTCTTGTGCTTCATCAGATAAGTTGTCGTGTACCTGAAATAATCATCAATGAAAGTCAGTAGATATCTGTTCCCGTCTGATGTGGGAGTTTTCATTGGTCGGCACATTTCACTATATAGGAGCTCCATGAGGTAGGTGGTCTTTCTTTGAGTGCCTGTGGAAGTGGGGTAAGTGTGGCCTTCGCTTCCATGCTGCATTTTCATGTCATGAGCATTTGGCAGGGCAGTATGGTATTATCTTCTGATAAGCCTCTCTTTATAATGTCTTATGGCTTCTGCCCTAGTCATCTGTGCCATAGGTGGATATATTTGTTGAGTGGCTGTCTTGGCTTGTTTGTCTGCGGTGATGAGTCTGTATCATTGTATCGGTGATGAGTCTGATTTGCTTATTGTTTCAGATTGTACATTTGTCATCTCGGAAATGAACTGCGAGACCAGTATTAGCAAAGGTTTTCACTGATAGAATGCTTTCTTCTAGGTCTAGGACATGCAGTGCATTTTTCATGAGGATACTCTGCTTGTCTCCTGACGGTGTGATACAGTTTAAGAATCCTTGACTTTTACCTTCTGCAGTAATACTTTTCCCATTTGCTAGGAAACTTTGTCCTTTGCACTGAAATCAATTTCTGTGAAGAAGGTCTCATCACTTGTCATGTGGCTCGTTGCACCCGAGTCAATACACCATCCGTGTGGTATACTGATGTGAGTTAGTTTAACCTCCCTGGCGGTATGATTATGCAGGATTTTAGCATGCCAAAGCGGTACATTGTTTTTCATGTCAATTTGTTGTTTTATATTGTAGGCCTGTAATTCTTAGTAAATCTTAGGAATAACTCACCTAAATCTGTCCAAACAAGAGTCCAGTAGACATCCTGGGTATGATAAAGTTTGAAACACGAAATCATATAATAAATAATTATAAGACATTATAATATAATAAATACTTATACAAAATAATAATATAATAATTAAAAAAATGGTCCAGTAAATGGGAATTCTGGGGGCGCTGCCTGATCCGTACCACAGTCAATAGAGTACCAAGTTCCCACATCACTGAGTTTGGTCGCAGAATCGTCGTTGTCGCCACTTTATGTCTGATGACGAATTTCCCAACGAATCGCTATCACTCAATTCGGCAAGTGATTCTAATTTACTATCGCTGTTTTCTAATTTACTATCGCTGTTTTCTATCTGCTCTAAAACTGCTTTTTTTTTAAAATCAAGAATCAACTTTATTGTACATCAAAATGATACAACAATATTAGGAGACAACGTCTCAACAGCATGACAGTAGTTTCAACATGTATTTGGGGTAGGGAAGTACACTTGTCACATTGTGCGGAACAAGAACATAAAAGGCTATTGGGCCCAACAGAGCAGATGTTATACGGCCCTGATAGCCGCGCGTGCCACAATACAACATTAGCCGGAAAAAGAACAGACGAACAGTATTGTTCAATAATGTCAGAGCTCAGGCAATAGATTGTCAGGCTAGTTTGGGCTTAGCGCGGCCACAGGTATGAGGACAATTGGCATTGGTAAGCAAACCTAGATTAGTTGGCAGGTTCAATCACTCCGTGATTCGTGCATCAGGTGTTTGCTTATATGTGGTATCGATGAGGAGAAGTCAGGCTGAGGGGACAGTGTAGGGTAGAGGGAAAGGCAAGCGGGAGAGAGCTGAGGGTAGTAGAGGCCAGGGGGGCTGGGGGGGAAGTAGCGAGGTTAGGTATCTAGAACGTAGTATTCCTGTCCCCGCTTGGACTTAGGAAGGTGTCGTGGTCATGGCCTGGTGGTAGGCATCGGTGTCCTGAAAAGCTGCCCAGGGTCTCCAAGTGTCCCGAAAGAGCTCCTCAGTGTTCTGGAGCGTAGAGGTCAGATTTTCCATCACGTAGATCTCATTAACCTTAACAAGCCAGAGACCGAAAGAGGGGCATCTAGATTGCTTCCACAACAGTGGGATACATAGACGTGCAGCATTCAAGAGGTGTCTAGACAATGATTTTTTGTATTTTCTGGTGGACATGTTGTTTAGGTGTAGCAAGCATGCAGCAGGGTTGTCCGTCAAGTCTACCATCACCAGGTCCCTCACAACGGCAGTCACCTCCCCCCAGAACGGGAGCAATAGAGGGCAGGACCAGAATATATGTAGCAACGTGCCTGGAGCGTTCTGACACCTCCAGCATACAGATGGAACTTGAGGGTACATAATGTGAAGGGCTGTTGGGACCCGGTACCACCATGAAACTATTTTATAGTCCAACTCTTGGGTCTTGGATGCAATAGAGGAATGATGTGCCAAGTGGAGAATACGGTCTTTTTGGGCCGGCGTGAAAGTGGTGCGCAAATCACTTTCCCATTTGGCCAGGAATGTCGGGTAAGACTCTGGAGGGGGGGATATCAGCATGGAATACAGGAGGGAGATCGCGTGACGGGTGGGTATCTCCTCCTTGCAGACTTTCTCAAATGGGGTAAGGGGCCTGGAGAGCCGGTGGTGACTGGGAATAGAGAGCATGGAGTGCCATAGTTGGAGGGAGCTCCAGTGGTCTAATGGAGGGTCTGTCAGGTTGGAAATTTCACCGACCGATAGCCACCGGCCAGAGGGGTGTAAGTCGTATACGCGGAACTTGTTGGCTTCCCGGAAGCGGGGGTCTTGAACACCGGGCGGGAAGTCTGGGTCGCCGATCACTGGGGTCATAGGCGAGGGGAAGGGGGAAATGTCCGTAGATCTAAAAAGCGATCTGGATAGCCGAATCGTAAGTCCTCGGCTCCTTGGGCATGGAGGAATTGTAGGGCAGAGAGTCCGCTATATCGTCGGTCCGGCACAGTGGTGGCAGAGCTCTCCCAAAGCGTGTGCTCACGGCTCCATGTCCAAGCCACGCCCCCTCTAAAACTGCTTTTGACCTAAAGGGACGCTTTTTGGATGCCATGGACGTTCTCCAGTTTCCAGGCAGAAAGAACAGTAAAAGTGTCAGGCAGGGCATTGGACAAAGCTCTAGGGACAAAATTGAAGTGAAATGATACAGAAATGTAATCGTAGCAGATTACATTGTATTCTGTGTATTCTGTGTATATTGCATGTTTTCACTTCTGAATTTCCCGCCGGCTCCGCCCCCCGCTGTGATGCCGAAAACGAAACTAAAAGTCAGATGCCGGCATCGGCCAGCTGCGTACAGCAGAGGACACCGCGAGCTCGTAAGGACAAGGTAAGTGACACTTTTGTGCAATCCCGAGTGTAGCTCGGGGTTACCGCTATTGGTACTGAAAATTAACCCGAGCTACATTAGGGAATACCCCTAGGGAGGTTAAAGGTAGCGCTCCATGATGTGCCTGCAGTTACCTTTGTAGCTGCTTTAGCTCTTTCGCTTGTAGGTGCCTCTTGCTTTCGCTGCTCGGCTTTCCTGATTGAACAGTCCTTTTTCAGGTGACCAGTCTTTTTACAGCGAAGACATGCTCTGCTTTCTTTGTTTTGCTTTGCGCTCTCATGCACCTTAAATACTTTCTTGTTTTCTTCATTGTGCATATTTTCTTTCCTTCTGTCATATGTATTGATTAATTTTCCTTTGGTGTATTCTAGTGTTCGTTCCTGCTCGGATCTGGTTTCTAGGGCGTTGATAAGAGCACTTATGACTCTAGAAGGCTACATAGCAGTAATGCCACCACGTGGTTATCTTTAATTCCCTCTCCAATTGCACTTAGGTGCTCTATGATTTCCAGCATGTCATATTCACATGTTCACATATTTTCTGGCCTATTTCTAGCCTTATATAGCAGATATAGTTTACTATTTAGGTTTGAACGCTCATGCAGTTTCTGTAATGACATACACATACCTTTTAGCTGTATTTTCTTTTATAATGTTGATAAACTGGTCATCTTCCACTAGCAGACTTACGATTGCTTTTGCTTGCCTGTTCTTCTTGTCCCATTCCTCCGTGGGTCCATTACTGGGTGTGTCTGTACTGTGCTTGCCACAAGTCATCTTTGCTTAGCAGCAATTTAAGCTTGGACTTTTTTTTTGTAGCTGGTTATTGCTGTTGTTGAGCTTTCCGATTGCAAACTTCATATGTGAACTGCTTGCCATCTTTCAGCAGCTTGGATGCAGTACTTGTTGACTTGCGGTTTTCTGCTCAGTGCCTGGTCCCATAACCTGTTGCTTATATGTTTAGATGAAGCACTGAGATCTTGAGGAATGCTGAATTAAGTGTTTCTTGCTTATTATAACATTGCATACATATATATAGGATTACAGCATCAAACAGGAAACATATATAGATCATAGATAGAAGCTTGCATATAAAAAACTAGCATACAGACTAGCATAGATTAGCTTTGCACCACAGAGCCATCTGGTGCTCAAAAGACACAGTTACAGTCAGCAGCACAATCGGCATGTATAGGTTGTTGTACTTCCAACACTGCCTATGTTAAAGTAATATAGACCGGTATGCCTCAGCACTGATACTTAGTTGCTAATAGACCTTGAATTGTGACGGTACGATTTTACAGCTATACTGATAGTTCTGGTGCCTCACTGTGTAATATTTTTAGGGTTGAATTTAGTGTGGGAGATTAGTTCAAGGGTTACTTTAAGGAACTGTCCACACCATAATGCATGTGCTAAAGCAGTTGTGTTGCACTGAGTTTGCAGCACTTGTTATAACAGGCTTGACACGTGTTGTTTTTTCCCCCTTTTTCTTTTCAGTGCATTGTGTTGTGCTGCGATGAAAAAAAAGTAGAGCATGCTCTTCTTTTTGTTTTTTGTTTTTCAGCGCAACTAAATGCAACGTGCTGGAGTGAACATGCCTTAGGCCAAGTGTGTGTGTTCCAGAGCGGTAGCTGCTGGAACGCACCACGATCGCTAAGAAACTTCTTCCTGCGTTTTGGGGCGGGAGGGGGCGTGGCGGTGCATTGAATTCAGACTTTGCCAGCGTTCTGTTCCACTGCAAACGGCAAAAATAGGGCTTGCTCTATTTTTGGCGTTTGCAGTGGAACGCAACGCTGGCAAAGTTTTGCCACGTGTCAGATCGCACTGCGGGCGGGGGGGGGGGGGGGGGGGGGCGCGTGGAAGTGGTGCCATTGAATTTAATGCACCACCACGCCCCCTCCCGCCCCAAAACGCAGGGAGAAGTTTCTTAGTGATCGCGGTGCATTGCAGCAGCTACCGCTCTGGAACGCACACGCTTTCAGTGTGAACAAGCCCTTATTTAATGTATTTGTTTTTTTTTGAGTGCTAGCATTGGGAATGAGGGTGTGAATGGACCCTTAGAAATTTTTTTTTTAGGTTTGGACAGGACAAGAGCAAAGGAAGATAGAGAAAACCTGTATTTTTTTTAAAATTATTATTATTGCTGTCTGGGACTCAATTGGAGAGATCTCCTCACTCATTAACAACGGAACCAGCATCTACAAGAACTTGTGCCTGTTTTCATTGTTGAGTATCCTGATATCCAAGAATGCTCACACTGACTATAAAATATACACTTTTAAAAGATAAACATACTTACTATTATCTAACACAGATTTTGGGTACCTGGAAGTGCCTAGATTAGGTATTATGGTTAGGTCAGGCCTAGACAAAATCCAGCCAGATCAAAATAGTTAAAACAATATGGCTTAGATTGGGATATATGGAGGTCTCACCTACCTAGAGCAGACATATAGTGGCCAGACCTACTTAGCCACCAGGATTTGTCCAGCCCTGTGTTAAGTGTTTAAAAGTTAATTTTAGGTTTTGGATTAAGAATAAAAGCAAACCTACATAATTTAATTTAGGGATGCACCAATACCATTTTTTCAAGGCCAAGTACGAGTACTGATACTTCTCCTCAAGTACTCGCCGATACCAATTACAGATACCTTTTTTTTGTGTACAAACACAGTATAATTAGGAAAAATTAAAGAAAATTTTGAAAAAAAAAAGTACTTTTTTTTTTCAAAATTCTCTTTAATTTTTCCTAATTATACTGTGTTTGCCCGAAAGGAAGACCTACCCCGAAAAAAAAACCTAATACCCAAAATTGGCCATAGGTGACACTTTAAAAGCTTTTACCGCTCATCAGTTTAGTGTTCTCAGTGATTGATGGCCCCAGAATTATTGCTCTCACTGCGACGCTCGCGGCGATAAGTAACGTGTGCGACGTAATGGGCGCAATAGTCGTTTTTGCACGTATGCGCCCCCGTATGGGTGGGGACTTAAAAACACTTTTTTTTCTTTTTTCTTTTTTATGTGTAACTACATTTTTTTGGGGAGGGACTTAAAAAAAAAAAAAAAAAAAGGAAACATTTTTTTTACTAAACTTTATTGCTATCACATACGGGGCTAATAAAAACCCCCTATGTGATAGCAAAATATGTGATTTCGGCCGTTTCCCGCGTGTCTGAGCGGACGTCTAAAGACGCCCGCTCAGATCTAGAGAGCTCCGGGCCGGCCATTTTTTTTACTACGGCCGGCCCGGAAGTGGTTAATACAGTGGTGAAGCGCTTGGGCCCAGTCCCAGCTGCAACCTCTGCTACCATGGTAGTTCTGCCACTGACTCCAAGCTGTAGAGGGACTACAAATCCTATTAATACATTATATAGCAATGCAGAATGATACAAAGCTACATATTCTGTGTTGCTCACCAGGGCTGCTTGCAG